TATATGTACATATGCATATATATATATATACACATATGGTGCATTTTAAATTACATGTGTGTAATTTTTGTAAATGTGTGTGCATAATTTTAAGAAGTGCCAAAAATAAAAGACATGTATAAACCTAACAAGTATGTATAGGATTTATATCCTGAGACCTAAAAGCATTGGTGAAAGAAATTAAAGTTCTAAAAAACGAAGAGATTTACCGTACTTATGGTTTGTAACACTCAGTATTATGTGTTGATCCTTCCCAATTTTATCTGTAGACCCAATGTAATTTCAGTCAAAATCCCAGCAAAGCTAAGTATGGATATACACCTACTCTAAAATTAATATGGAAATGCAAAAGATCTAGAATAGTCAAAACAATTTTGAACATGAAAAACCTGATGGTCTCACACCACCCAATTTCAAAACTTACTCTAAAGCTGTAATATTAAATACAGCATGGTATTAGTGAAAGGAGGCTCAAAGAGACTAGAACAGAGAGCACAGAAATAAACCCACACAAATATGGCTACTTCATTTTTGACATAAATACAGAGCCAATTCAGTGGAAAAATGATAACTTTTTTTCTTAACATATGGCACTGAAACACTTAAATAATAATATACAAAAAATCAACCAAACAAAAAAAGAAGGTCAATCTATACTTCACAGCTTGGGTAAAAACTAACTCAATATGGATCTTAGACTTAAAATTCTAAAATTTCTAGATGAATGAATATATAGAGAATCTTTGTGACCTTGGCTTAGGCAAAGAGGTTTCTTTAAGTTTTCTACTAAAAACACAGTCCACAAAAGCAAAAACTGTTAAGTTTGACTTTATTAAAATGGAAACCTCTTGCTCTGTGAAGGATAAGAAAAGACAAGCCAAGAAATTCAGATGGTCAACAGGCACATGAAAAGATGCTCCCCATCACTAATTATTAGGGAAATGCAAATTAAAACCATAATGGGATATCACCTCACCCCAGTTAGGATGGCCAGTATAGAAAAGACAAGGAACAACAAATGATGGTGAGGATGTGGAGAAAGGGGAACCCTCCTACACTGCTGGTGGGAATGTAAACTAGTTCAACCATTGTGGAAAGCAGTATGGAGGTTCCTCAAAAAACTCAAAATAGAAATACGATTTGACCAGGAACTCCACTCCTAGGAATTTACCCAAAGAAAACAACTTCTCAGATTTAAAAAGACATATGCACCCCTATATCTATCAGAGCACTATTTACAATAGCCAAGATATAGAAGCAACCTAAGTGTCCATCAGTATATGAATGGATACAGAAGAGGTGGTACATATACACAATGGAATACTATTTAGCTATAAGAAAGAAACAAATCCTACCATTTGCAACAACATGGATGAAGCTAGAGGGTATTAGGCTCAGTGAAATAAGTCAGGCAAAGAAAGACAAATACCAAATGATTTCCCTCATTTGTGGAGTATAACAAAGAAACAAAACTGAAGGAACAAAATAGCAGCAAACTCACAGACTCCAAGAAGGTACTAGTGTTACTAAAGGGGAGGGGTTGGGGAGAGCCGGTGGGGATGGAAGGAGAAGGGGATTGTGGGGTATCATGATTGGTGCACATGGTATGTGTGGGGTCACGGGGAAGACAGTGTAGCTCAGAGAAGACAAGTAGTGACTCTGCGGCATCTGACTACACTGATGGACAGTGACTGCCATGGGGTATGGGGGGGTTGATAATAAGGGTGAATGTAATAAGCACATTGTTTTTCTTGAGAAAACTTCATAAGAGTGTATATCAATGATACCTTAATGAAAAAAAAAGGAAAGGAAAGAAGCCACACACAGGTAGAAAATACTGGCAAATCACATTTCTGACAAAAAATTTGTTTCAGAATATATAGAGTTCTTAAAAACAGCCATAAGAAAATAAACAATCCAACTTAAAAATTGAAAGATCTGAACACATGTTAGTATAGAAGATACACAGTTAACACATAAGCAAGCGAAAACACACACAACAATTGTTTTTAGGGAAATGCAAATTAAAACCAACATAAGGCCTTTTTTAGACTGGGAAAACAAAACACTGAAAATGTGAACTCAAATGGATGTTGAAAAGCAGAAATTCTCATTTGTTAGTGGGACTGCAAAGAAATACAGGCACTTTGGAACACAGTTACACAATTGCTTATAAATTTAAACATATACTTCCTATACAATCCAGAAATCCCACTCCTATAAATTTACCCAAGTGAACTGAAAACTTATGTCATTGCAAAAGCCTCAACACAAATGTTTATAGTATATTTATTCATAATCACCAAAACAGGTAACAATTCAGATATCCTTCAACAGGTGAGTGAATTAAAAAAACTGTGGGACATCTATAAATGTAATACCATCCAGTCATCAAGAGGAATGAACTAAAATCTCACACCACAATATTAATAAATCTTAAATGACTTTTGATAAGTGAAAGAAGCCAGACCTAAAAGCTGCATATAATATCATTCAATCTATTTGGTGTTCTGGAAAAGATTAAATTATAGAACAGGGAACAGATCAGTAGATGCCAGGAGCTAGGAAAGCAAGGAGAGATTGAGTAACAACAGGTCACCAAAGGGAATTTTCATAAAGGAACTGTTGTGCATGGTACTCATCATGTGATGTATTCATCAAAACTCAGAGCTGTACACCAATAGGAGTGAACCTAACTCTATTCAAATTTTTTAAAAAATCAAACAGGCTGTGGATGGAACACAGACTGTGACAAGTGACTCTGTTATCATAAATGTATGTATCACATAACCTAAATTAAAAGGGCAAGGGAAAATGAGCTGACCTATATTCTAGATGAATATACAGGGAATTCTTGTGACCTTGGCTTTATAAAATAATATTTTGACTGGATACTATAAGGCTGAAAACAAAAACTGTCCATAAACATTACAGTCTAGTTGTAAATTCTCACAGAGGTTAGCAATTCTGAAACTACTTTACATGTAAAGAGTAAGTAAACACTGTAGACAACGGTAGCCAGGTGTTTCTGTGTCTAAGTATGAAGTTAAAAATAAGCAAGGGGTAGGTGGGAAGGTCAGAATGAACTTTGGGTTAGAGTAGGAGATATCAATGTAAATTCATTAATTTTAATATATATGTGTATACATGTGTGAATATGTACATACAGATACATAAATATAGATTACTAACTTGAATTGGTTAACACACAATTATCAATAAGCAACCTAGAGCTCAGATATTGATTTCTCCAATAAAAGAAACAAGGGTTCCATGGAAAAATGGCTGATTCTAGGGCTGGGGCAGGGAAAGGGCAAGATGAGCCAGGGGTATCTTGTAGTATCAAAAATTAAGAAAGTGCTTTTTAAAGAATGATAAAAATACATTAAAAGAATCTAAAAGTAACCTGTGATAGCTCTCAACGCCCAAAGCTGGAACAATTTGACAATATAATAACATAATAGTATCAAATGAAAGAAAAAGTGGGGGTGGGGGCACCAGGCAGGGGAAGCTGACCAAAAAAAAGTAGCAACATGACCTAATCTTAGATGAATTTTGCTAGATGAAAAAAGCCAAACCTTAGAGATGCATATTCTGTAATTCCATCCACATTCTGAAAAGGGTAAAATTATGGAACAGAGAACAGATCAGAGGGTGCTAAGGATTGGGTGAGAACGCTGGGGTTGAATAACAATGATTGAGAATAAAATTTAAAAAAAGAACATGCAAAACAGAACTAGACTTATAAAAAGAACCAGAAATAGGTATGCTTCCTAAAAATGTATAACCTCAGTCCAATCAGAAAAACTGATGGTTGCTATAGGGGAGGGGAGTAGGGGGATGAGTAAAAATAGGTGGAGATAAAGACTTATATTCTAACTATTTAAAAAATAAGTCACTGGGATGAAAAGTAAAGCATAGGGGATATAGTCAATAATTTTTAAGTATCTTTGTATGTTGACAGATGGTAACTGTACTTAATATGGGCATTTTGTAATGTATATAATTGTCAAATAACTATATTGTATACCTGAAACTAATATATTTATAATATTGTATATCAACATTATAAAAAATAAATAGAAAACAAATATCTGAGTCCATACTGATATAAATAAATGGTAGAATAAATAAGTGGGGAAAACAAAAACTTTCCCTTACAGAAGAATCTCAATCAATAAATACAGAAGGAAAAAATAAAATAGAAAAATCATCATTTAGAACACCACAGTAATAATGGTTGCAGGCAAGATCCACCAACAAAGCTAAAATGTATGGCCAAATCTCCAACTAGAAACAATATATTTGCATAGCCTCAAAAGGTCTCTCCCCAAATTTACTAATAAATGTGATAATGGTTTAAAACAGGACCACAATTCAAGATGGAGCTTATTTCCCCTCCAAGTGTCCCCCGGATTTAGCAACCCACTTCTAAGTATAGCCTGGAAAGGGAAAAATTCTAACTAAATGTGGAAAACTGTCAGACACCAACCTTACCAAGTAATCAAGGTTAATATAGTTGATAAAGTAGGCACATCCTCTCAGTGGTATTCTTCCTAAAAATGTATAACCTCAGTCTCAGGAGGGGAAACCAGGCAAACTCAAATTTAGGGACATTCTTCAAAATATCGACCACCATTCTTCAAACATCGGAAGGTCATAAGGGACAAGAAAGACCAAAAAGCTGTTACAGATTCGGGGAGATTAAAGAGGCATGATGACTAAATGTACTATGGTCTCGCCGATTGGATCCTTGATCAGTAAAAGATTACGGCTGGAAAAACTGATGAAATCTGAATACACTGTAATTTTGCTAATAGAATTGTAACCAATGTACAATGTTAACATTAGGGGAAGAGGAGTGAAAGGCATATGGGAACTACCTTTGCAGTTCTCCCATAAATTTGAAATTATTAGAAAACAAAAAAGCTAAAAAATGACATTGACTAAAAAGTTTGCTCTATATTGTTTTTTTTATAAAGTGTGTTTTAAATAATATACCCCGGTTACCGTATAGTGCTGACGATGTCAGGAGGATGTACATGTAAAAATATTTTGATTCCAGGTGAAGTATGGTCAGTTCTGGGAGATGAGAGTGCTTTCTTCTTTAAGCTTGGTGTTTGAGCAGTTTCTTATATATGAACAGATTTTGCTGTTACTATTAATACCGAATTGCTGGCTTTTTCCTGCATTCCAGAGAATAAGTATGCTAGTGACATATTATTTTAGTTTAGATAAATTTACCTGAACTAAAACACCATCTGTCAATAAATGATCTAAATAAAATACCACTGTCATAATGAAATCCAGCGCACACCTGTCCTCTGGCTTGTGTGAAAGGCCGGCTGCTCTGGCACCCGTCCCTTGCCAAGGCTACAGGACGTCTGACAGCATCTCTCAACGCGGAGCCAGGCAGCACAGCTGCCTCCCAAAGGAATGGGCACAGTGGCGCCAGAGAGGGGAGTCCACAGAAACATTCCAGAGCAGCGTTTGGACTACGTTGACGCCGTACACGGTACAAAAGCCCCGTTGGCGGTGTCAGTTTACTCCCGGCGCGGCTGGAACCCCTTCTCCCCCCAGCAGCCAGGAGCCTCGCTCCCGCGCCAGCCCGCCGTCTGCGCATGTGCGACCCCGCCTCCTCCTCCCAGCTCGTTCTTCCCGGCCTTCACTCCGTCGTGGGAAACAATCCGTGGCACCCGGGTCCATGCGGCGAGGGAGCTGTGGAAGCACCGGAAGGTAGGGGCGAGGGCCGGCGCGGCTCTGGGGGGCCGGCGGAGGTGGGTGGGAGCCGCGGGACGCCAGGCGTCTATGGCGCCGGCAGAGCTGAAGGGACGGCGAGCGCGGGCGTCTCCGTCCAAACCGAGGGAACGGGGGCTCAGCGGCTCGCGGGGTCCACAGGCGTCTAGCCCCCAGCTTCAAGTGGCCGGTGCTCGTGTTGCGGTCGCGGGAGAGGAGTGCGCGTGCGTGACGTGCACGGTGGATCTGTGGGGAGGAGGTGGGACTGCGAGGAAGAGTGCGTGCGCGTGCGCGACTTCTGCGCGCCCTGGGCGTAGTGCCGCGTGAGCGTGCGTGGTTTGAGAACCAGGTTCACCCGGACTGGTGTCGGGAGTGTGGGGCTGCACGGGGGTGCCCGTCTGGCTTCTGGTCTAACACCAGGAGTTGCCTGCAGCAAGTAGCTGACGTGAGACGCGATTTCCTTCTCCGTAAGACGCGGATATGAAGAGCTGTTGCCACGCGTGTACTAAGTACTCGTTTTGTTAGCCCCCGTCATGTATTAGTTCCGTGTGTCAGTGCTGCTGGAACCCCAGCGCGCCCCCAGGCCTCCATTCCGCGATTCACTCATCTGAAGGGGCGGGGATGGCTGGGTCAGCTAGCAGCCACCTCGCTCGGCTCTAACATGCCCCGGAGCCTGAGTTATTTCCCGTGTACTCATTTGTTACTTATGTACAATCAAGACACAGTTTCCTGAAGCCATCGAAGGCTGTGTTCCGTGGAAGGTCTGGGACAATTTTAAGAAGAGAGGTGAGCAGGAGCCGATGGGTGGGCACACGGCCACGCGGGAAATAGCGCTTTGACAGTTTGTGAGGGCGCGGTCGGGGGGTGCCTGTGAAAGGCTCATTCCCCGAAGCCAAGGAAATTGTCATTACCCCTCCCTGTTCACCCGTCACTCGCCTCATACTCCGTTCACTATGCCTCGGAGCGAGCCACCCTCAGTCCCCCAGCGTTGATGGCATCCAGAGAGGCGCTGAGGTACTTGTGCTCTTGGCCTTAGAGACAGAGACGCACGCCCTTTTTGGGTTATCTGTTTTGATCTCATTTCTCATTTGAAAAATAAAAATAAAACTGAGGTGACTGGCTCATAACATGCAGTTAGTGGCAGAACCAAGATTAAAAGGCAGGCCCGCAAATTCCAAGGCCACTGCCCATTTTGTCACTGCGAAGTCAGGTGTTCGTTTCTTATTAAAAGATCCCTCTGAAAACTATAAGCAGGTTAGAACAAACATTAATTTTTTTATCTTGAAATCCGCATCTCTTTTTTCAGAGGTTTCTTGGATTATGTAACCTCAAGAGATTAGTGGTGGTAGCAGAAAAATAAACAATATGGCTAGTTTTTTCCCCTACATCAGTTTTGACAAATCCATAGTGTTTCCCCTTTTACTGTTATATGTTCAACTCATCTTCTCATGTTTTTAATTTTTCTGTGTCACAGAACCTAAATTGGTAATAAATCAGTAAGAAACAAATGTTTACATTCTCTCAATGAAAACTATCATGTCTAAGTTCAACACATATGGGAGCCACTACATGGACATGTAAGTATCTTGTGTGTGGCACTGTGTAGGCAGGGGAATCCAGGAACTGCAAGGCAGGCCAAGTCTCTTCTGACTTTCTTCTTCCTTCCTTCCTTCCTCAGTTCTCCCTCTTCCACTAAGAGCGGAAAATGAACAAATCCCAGGTGAGTTTTTGCTTGTTTACTCCCACTTGTTATAAAATGTGTTTTCTGAAGTTTATAAGGATTCATATTTTTAAAATGAAAAAGTAGAAGTAGGTAAGAATTTGTATTTTTAAGAGAAATAGTAGCAAAGCTAAAATAGGGCAGTTGACAGGATTAGTTGCAGGATTTTTAATTTTAGAGTTATCCAAGTTAGTGTAAAATTTTCTCTGACCTTTCTAATAATCCTGAAATAAACACAATATATTGCCTATAGTGCTTTCTCAGTGGATGTAACACAGTGCCAAAGCAGACTCAATGCACATGCTTTTCAGGGCACCAAACAGTGAGGTTTGAATGGACAGCTCTTTCATGGTCCTGTCTGAACCACAAATAAAACCTTGAAGACCTGGCAGAACAGAGAGCTTGCATGTCCTCAAAATCACTCTCCAAAAGATGTTTGTGTCAGCTTGTTTGTATTTTTGGCTTGAATGTCAGGCATGCAGGCTTTTGTTTCTGCATTTCTCATTTACATTTATGTGTAAATAACGAATGCAGTCTTGCTCCTTCACCCCTATCATCCGAATCACTTCTGAGAAAAGCCACCAATTGTAATCAAATCCAAAAGTAGACAAATATAGTTTTTGTCTTCACCTTTGTCTTATTTGGTCCTTCTGTAGCATTTGATACTTTTCTCCATAGTCTCTCTGTTTGGAAAGCCTCCTCTGTTGTTGCCCATGACACCGCCCTGCTAGCTCTCCTTTGCTAACTCTGAGTCCTTTTCTATTCCTCATGAAGTTGGCCTTTCCTTTTGCCCAAGATATTGCATATTTCTGCTTTTATTGTGCATCCATTCTTGATCCACTGCTCTTCCCAGTCCAGCTATTTTTACTGACTGGTTTTGTGTTGTTTTTAATAAAAGATTTTTGAATTGGTAATATATTAATATGATTAAAAAAGCAAATGATACAAATGTTAAGGAAAAATTTACACTCCCATTTTCTATATGATGCTTCTTCCAGGTAGTGTAACATTTCTCCTCCAAACTGAGACACTTACCCTGAGAGTGAAAGAGGTTCTGTAAACAGTTATGCTGGGACAACTGGCATAGAGTGGGGGAGTCCCAGACAAATTGGAGTGTATGGTCACACTACTGTAGGTATCCATTATTTCTAGTTTCTTATTTGTCTTCCCAGTGTTAATTCAGTTAAAATGTGTGCCCGCTTCCCTTATTTAAAAGGGAATCCATTACCCTTAGGGGTTCTCATACTTAGAGGCACCTGTCCATCACAAGGATCTTGTTAAAATGCAGATTTTGATTTAGTAACTCTGGGTGGAGCCCTAGATTCTGCATTTCTAATAAGCTCCCAGATGAAGCTGATTCTGCTCATCAGGGCCCTGCACTTTGAGTATCCAATTTGCACACAATTTCTGGTTCTTTTTTTGCTTTTTATAACTTCTTTTTTCAGCCTGTCCCAGACTTTGTGTAGCCAAACAGGAATTGCTTCATCTTTGTTATAACTGTACAGTAGTTAAAGTGTGAATGCTCCATAGTCTATTAAACTAGTTACTATTTCCAACCTTTTGCAACTACACACCATGTTTTAATGAATAATCTTGTACATAGAGGTTTATTCTATCAGGTGAATTTACAAAAGTGGGACTGCTAGCTAGGTCAAAGGGTAAATAAAAAAGATAAACTTGGGGAGCCAAGATGGTGGCGTGAGTAAAAAGATAAACTTGATTGGTTGGTAGAATTATAATATTTTGTATTCCCATTGACTTGTGTGAGAGAGTTTGTTTCTACATAGCTTCTCCCACACATATGTGGTTCAAGTTAGGGAATTTGAGAGGTAAAAAGTGGTAGATTGCTTTGCAATTTTCTTAACTATGAGTGAAGAATGTTTTTTCATGTATCTGAAAGGTGTCTTGTATTTATATTTCTGTGAACTACCTGTTCATATCTTTGCCCATTTTGCTCTTAGGTTTCTGACTTTAGTTTTTCAGTGTCTAGTTAACTTCTTTGTATATTAGGGATACCAATCCTTGTCTATTATATGAGTTACAAACTTTTATTTTATGGTATATCATTTATCTTTTGATAATTGCTCATGGTGTTTCTCCCCGTGCAGGTATTCTGTTGCAGGATACCACACTCCACTTAGTCATTTCATTAGGCTCTTCTTGGTTGTGGCAGTTTCTCAGTTTCCTTATTTTTGATGACCTTAGTAGTTTTGAGGAGTACAAGTCAGGTGTTTTGTAGAATGTCCCTCAATTGGGAATTGTCTGCTGTTTTACTTAAGATTAGGCGGGAGTTGCAGGTTTCCTGGAGGAAGACCACAGAGGTAGATTTATGTCATCTCATATCCAGCGTAAATATGTCTTACCACAGTTGTATCAGTGTTGGTCACCTGGTTGAAGTCATGTGGTCAGGTGTTTCTGCTGCAAAGTTACTCTTTTTTCCCTCTGTTTCATACTATAATCTTTGGAAGGAAGTGGGCTATTATACTACACCTTCTTCATAGTGGAGTAGCCACATAAGTCATTAGGAATTCTGCACAGGAGATTTTTCTGTTTCTTTCTTATTAATTTATTCAGCTATATCAGTATGAACTCATGGCTAGTTATTTTATAGTTTGGTTATATTACAGTCCAATATTACCTTGTTTATTTTGTGCCAGTTTGGTTATTCAGAGCACTCGGCATTTGTTCCTCTGCCCTTTTGACACATCCCATTATTGTGTTTTTGTTTGTGCTTGTTCCTTACTTCCTGGTACTAGAAGGTATTCCAGGCTCATCTTATGTATTCCATGACCTAGAATCAGCCCTTCTTTCCTGAAGAGCTCTGGTTCCTTTTATTGGAACATGCTATTAGAAACCAAGATTGGGAGACTATGATGTAAACCAGAATCATTTTGTCAGTAATGTGTCATAACTTGCAGACCCTCTAAGATGACTGAACAAGAACATATATGTGTATACTAATTCATGTATATACACATTTATAAATATTTCAATATGTAACCATCTATATATATTAAGCTAAATATTACTTCACACTGATGTCTCCTGCTATAATCATTACCATATGGAACATTGTAGCCTTCTCCTCTGGCATCTCAGTAATCTCCCACTCTGAGAATCTGGCTACCTCCACCTACATCTTGCTTACTTAATTAGTTCAATTCCAGCATATATTTAGAAGTGACTTGAGAGTTGTTAACCCATGGATTCTTGGTTCCTTCAGTTTTTGGCCATTATGAATTAAACTGCTATAAACATTCACATGTAGGTTTTCATGTGGATGTAAGTTTTCAAACACCTCAACCATGAAATTGCTGGATCATGTGTGAAGATTATGTTTAGCTTTGCAAAAAACTGCCAAACTGTTTTACAAAGGTGCCGTATCATTTTGCAGTCCTATGAACTATGAATAAGAATTTCTGTTCTGCATCTGGACCTGAAATCGATACTGTCATTTATTTTGAATTTAACCATTCTAATGTGTCATGGTATCTGATTTTTGTTTTAATTGCATTTTCCTAATAACAAATGATGTTGAGTATCTCTTCGTGTTTATTTGCCTATCCATGTATCTTTGGTGAAATGTTTATGTTTGTTCAGATCTTTTGCCCATTTTTCAATTGGGTCTTTTGTTTTCTTACTATTATAGGAGTTCTAAGAGTTCTTTTTTTTTTTTGAGAGGGCATCTCTCATATTTATTGATCAAATGGTTGTTAACAAAAATAAAATTCTATATAGGGGTGTCAGTGCTCAATGTACAATCATTAATCCATCTCAAGCCTAATTCTCGTCAGTCTCCAATCTTCTGATGCATAACGAACAATTCTTACATGGTGAACGAATTCTTACATAGTGAATAAATTCTTACATGGTGAACAGTACAAGAGCATTCATCACAGAAACTTTCGGTTTTGATCATGCATTATGAACTATAAACAATCAGGTCAAATATGAATATTCGTTTGATTTTTATACTTGATTTATATGTGGATCCCACATTTCTCCCTTTATTATTATTATTATTTTTAAT